TATATTTCTTATGAGTTAGTTCAATCTGTAACTCAATTACTGTTTAATAAAGTCATATAACTTTCGTGTTTATCTAAGTATAGGAAAGGATTCCAGCTGAAATACTGAGTGGCATCAGACAGAAAATGACCTTTGCACTTTTGCCAAGTTTTGTGCAGTTATATATGCATTGATTCATTGCTTCTTTCTGTACATACTGAACTGAGTGATTGCACAATAGACTGAATATCTGTGTATTGAGACAACTGATAATATGTAATATGTAGGTGATATGTTGTCAGTCAAAATGGTTTGGGCACTTACAAATTTGCTGTTGCTGATAATCATTTTGTTCTGTACCTATTAGGAGATTAGCCAGAAGTGTAAAACATCTAGAAAATTCCCCTGAATGGTCAGTGGACTCCCCTTCACACAAATGAATCCTCAGGGGCTGCAAAGCCAGCAGAGCTGGCATGGGGAAGGGATTGGGACAGGACAAAGTAGGTGACTCTGAAGATGGAGATCCTTGGCTATTAAGAGCCATTATGCAAGAAGCATAGTTTACAGAGATCTTAACATTGTCTTAATTTGTTTCATTTGTCCATTTGCAACGAAGTCACAGAGGTTAAGAAGTACTATAGGAACACAGTACCACCTTCTCTTAACTATGATGAAACCCAGTGAGGACCAAGCCACTTACTTTATGAAATAGGCCTTGGGCACGTACAAATTCAGAAACCCCACGCCCTATTTATCAGTCATCATCCTTTATAAGGTTCTGATCCAGACCTGACCCACTCTACTTTTCTTCTACCCATAGCCTCTGCGTCTGATTTCCAAAGAGCTAAGCCTTCTGAGAACATCCTCTCTCGTGTAATTTCACCACCTTTTTCTGCAGAAAAATGTTCTCTTGTTCATACTGTTTGTGTGGCTCCATTGCTGCTAGCTCTGGAGGTTAGCCATATATTAGGTACCAGTGTTTCAACTTTCAACTTTAGTGTATCTAACTTCAGTAGAGATTGCAGTGTAAGCCCCATAACAATATAGAATGAAAACTTGCAAAAATGTTTTTTCTGTGTAATTTATAGCGTTTTCTAAAATGCCTTCTTGTTTTTCCCTCCCTTAGAGATTTGTCTAGAAACTGACTAACGATTCAGAGACAGAGATGTGAAATATTGCATCAATAAGATTTTTTTGGTTTGCTTTTTTTTTTTTCCTGAACCAAAAAGCATTTCTGAAATATTACCTATAAAATATCAGGCAAAATTGCCCAAGCTAACACATTTGCTTGGGAGGTGCTGAGTAACTCACAGCACTGATAATAGTGATTAATGTGGTCTACAAACTCCTGCTGACAAGATCCTGACACAGAATCACATAAACAAGCAAGATGCTGGCCTTTCACTCAGCTGCCTTTCTCCAAATATTCGTAAATTCACATACAAAAAGTGTAAATACTTCTGGCTGAAGTAGGGTAGCAACACACTAATAATATTTACATTTTAGGCTATTTTCTTACTGCTCCATTTAATCAAGTTAATTTTTTGTAAATTATTTTACAATTTTTGTACTTTTTTTCCCTCTATTGTACCAAAAGACAACAGTATGTGTCCTAATGTAGGACTAATTTAATTCCTTGCCATTTTCTTTGGATATTTTTATTTATTCCAGTTTTATTCAAGCGTTACAACTTTCCCATTTTTCAGTTAGTCTCATTTTTTTCTTCACCTCTCTTGGCACATTTCAGAACTAAGTGTTTTTCTTCCTTCCCTGACTATTAATGGTACATGTGTTTTGGACATTTGTCTTCCATGCTCTCATGTTTGTGCAGAGCTAAATAATTCATTCCCCTTTTGTTGTCAATTTTCCTGCTGAAAACAAATCTTTTCTGCCATCCCTTCCTTCAGAAACCAACTAACGATCTTTTGTGTTGTGTGCATTTGAAACGTGCTATTCTTTAGCTACTTGTTTTCTGCAAAGAATATAGTTGTTCTAAAAATGGGATAACTTCCCATTTGTCTGAAAACACTGTCCTTGAAGTTTTTTTGGTGACTTCTGTGGTCTCTATTCTTTCCCATTGCAGCCTGGCATCTAGTTTTGGCATCCTCCACTCTGTGGAAGAGCAGGGATGCTATTTCACTTCAGAGTGCTTCCTGTGCAAGGCAATGAATGCTGGTGTCCTTGAGAGATGCTGGAAGGCTCTTTTGAACTAATTTCTTTCCATTTACAACCAGCTTTCTGAGCAGACACCTCTTCGAAAGTGCTTGGAGGAAACCCCAAGGGGATTTCAGTTTTTCCTTTTTGGAATCCCGCTGTTTCTAGCTCTTTGGGTACAGTGTTTTGAATGGGAAAGTTGGTTGCCTGGCCCAGGTGAAAAATTATCGTCTTCTTCCCTCTCCCTCACTTCCTCTTGGTTTCATGATTAAGGTTTCTGAAAATACTGCACAACTGTCTCCTTGTGCTGGGTTATTCAGCATAGCCCTGAGGCTGCTCTTCTAAGGAGAGGTGCTTTAAATCGAGAATCCTCAACTCTAGAGATGAATTTTGTGGATTTGGCCTCCAGGGCTGACACATGTTCATCTCCCTTGTACTACTTTTGCCCTGCCTGAGAAAAACCTGATGAGAATTACCTCTGCATCAAAATCCTTTTACCCCTAGAGGCCAGACAATCACCATTTCTGTTGAAAGACTTGGGCATCTTGAAGGCAAAGGTATTATTACAGAATCTAAATGGAATGATGGTGATATTAAACACAGTTCTCTCTGACACTGATTTGACTTTTTATAGTTCAGTGAGCCAAGGAATGTAGGACAAGCTTATTTTCTTAGGTGCTTAAGGGAAGGCCTTGAATTAGGAGAAGCATCATGGTGGCTTTCAAGAAACAGATTATGTTTTCCTCTCAGAATATGGGGGTAATCTATATCACAATCAAACATCTGTGATGGGAGGCAACAATCATAATATCAGGTAAGTGAAACAGAACCTTCTGTGCCTTAGAGAGCTCAGAAAAATGGGAAATGTGAAGTGCACAGGTTACTTGAAAAAGTACAAGTAGCACCCATTCAGATGCATTTTGATGCTACTCTCCACGGCTCCATGTTTTTATTGCTGAATTTGTCAAAAAACTTGTCTCATCAAAGGGGGGCTGTAATGAGATACGTACGTGTAGATTGTCCAAGCTTTACCGTACTGCCAGCAGATATTGGATGTCCTTAGTTGTTTTCGATGGAACATACTACAACAGATGCATTATATTTAATAATCTACCAACAAAAAAAAAATTAAGAAAATACAAATTATTATTTCCATGCTAAGTGTGAAGATGGGACCTTTTTCAAGATGTGCGTGATGTTTAGAATAAGAATCCAGGCAATGGTGCTAAGAACCCTGTGGTATTTCCAACACTGGTATTTTCAGAGGATAAGTAGTATAGAGCTTTTGTCAGATCTTTTGTTCCAGCAGGACTGATGCTCAGGTACTCAAGCTGCTTTGTCCGTCAGAAAATCTCTCTCCTGAGATGCTGTCAGCGGTACCACTCTGGAATATCATTGTGATGTTCCAGAGACTTCCCCATTTCTGCCTCTTCATTTCAAACTAGGAGAACAGCTTTAATTTCTGGTTCTCTAGTCAGGGGCCCGTCAGTAGATGTCTAAGGCCACCCGGATGAGCTGGCACCTCCCCTCCAGTTAGCCATTTACAGTGGTATGGTATGGTATGCCTCAGAACTTTGTTCCCCAGGTAAACTCCTTCCTTGGCTCTTGTAGTGATGAGAAGGTAACTGGAAAACTAACTTGTAGAGTAGTCAATGCAGGTGGACTCTGGATTTCCCTAAGTCTTGGGGTTTTATACATTATTTTTCCTCCTTCTCAAAGGTGGTGTGAATAGTTCAGTGCTACACTAGGGCTGTTCATTTAACAGTGTCAAGCAATGTAGAACAATTTGCATGGTCAGTGGATATTATCGAGTTCTGTTATTATCCTCTTATGAAGAATTAAGAGACAGTCCAAAACAACACAAATATTTTTTTCCTCTTTCTTATTGTAGTTACTTATTATGCTGGATATGAACACATCAGCATAGGACCATCTGTCTGTCTTAGGGATGGAGAGGGAGATGGGTTAGAATAACCTACGCTTTTGATTTCGGGGCTGCTTTCAGTCCTGGGGGAAGGGAGACAGGAATGTGCATCACTTGGAAATGGTCTTCTGTATGTACCCATCTTCACTTTCCTAGTTAGCTGAGAATGAAAGATCTGTATTAGAAAATTCAAAGATCCCTGGTTATTACTTAGATTTGTGGGAAAAAAATTACTCTTACTCTAAGTGGTGTAAAGTCTTTGCAGAATTGAACATCATTCTAACCATTAAGCCTGTTAGCCAGCAGTATGTGCTTTTTTTAATGGGGATGTGGAGTTTCAGCTATAATTCTATTTGCACGTGCCCAAGGGTGGGGAGTAGCATTCCCCAACTGCTTCTGTTAATCTTTTACTCCTGTCCTGCTTCACCATATTTATTGTTGATTCAGAGCCTGAGATTTTTGCTAGATGTGTGTTATAATGCTATTTAATAGAAGGTACTATCATTGAGCTTCGCCATATTTATTGTTGATTCAGAGCCTGAGATTTTTGCTAGATGTGTGTTATAATGCTATTTACTAGAAGGTACTATCATTGACTTTAGAAATAGAAGTAATATGTTGTTGTTGTAATGTATTAAATTCAGATTGGCTCCTGACCTTTGCCAGAAGTGAAGGAACTTCAGATACAGGGCTTTGTTTAGTCTTTGTTTTTCTTCCCTCTTCTCTCTTGCCTTCCCCAAATGGTGTAACATGTAAGTATTTGTTATTAAAAAGGAAAGGAAAACAAATTGACAATAATGAGAGATTGAAAACTTCATTAAAATAACTGTACGGGGAATGGTGGGTCAGCTCAGAAACCTGCTCTGAGAAACAACATTGAATGCAGTTTGCAGTTGTGCCACACAGTGTCACAATTGGCCTTCACTTCCTTCCACTCTGTGTCTCTCCCATCGCAGGTGAAGATATTTACAAAGCCAGAGAGGAGGGGTCTGAAGTGTGGGGGGCAGCTGAAGTGCAGGAAGATGAACATACTCGTGTAGAAGTTCCGCTGGACCAGGTATTGATCGAGCTTTAAATCAATGGCTTTTTTTTTTTTTTTAAGGATCACAGGCTGTTTGTTGCTTTTCTTTCCCCAATTTCTTTCAAGTGTACAGCATAATTCTTTGGGGATGGTTGTAACAACGATGTGGCTTCTTTTATGGGAGCTTTGGCAAATCTTCCTTTCTGTGTTAAGGTGTCAAATACTAGTTACCTTTCATCAGCTTCAGAACTGCTCTGAGAGCCCTTACAGGGCACTAGAGAGTCAGGACTCCCTGCTGTCACAACCTACCAAATAGATCCACCTGGATCACGGTCCCTTTATGCTGGTGGAGCACTGTAAAGGGACTATGGCAGAGAATCAAGGTCAGAATTCCTGCAGTCTTGAACCACAAACAGGTGTGGATTTATCTGATTTTTATTAAAGCTGCCAGCACTTTCTTCTGTTGAAACTTTTTAACTGTAAGACTTATGTGCAGTAAATAGTCAATTGCTCACAATTCAGTCCTCTTTTTCATCTTACATGTTTGTAGAACTTTGCGTCAGGTTCACAAGATGTTGCATTGTGATTCTGGTGTCTGTTGGTAGTGGCCTGAGGTCAGCCACCTAGGCCACAAGATAATATTTCTGGTCTGTGCTGCAGTGTAAGGAATCTGTTTATCCAACAGATTTCTCAGGCAAAAAGTCATCCCAACAACATAAGGGATTCTTGGGCGTTTTCCTGACTTCCTGGTGGTCAGCTCAGTGCCGAGGAACAGTTGTTAATGTGAGATTATAAATAAATGGGAGTTAAAAATAGTTGTTTGTAAATACACTTTAATTACCCAGGGCAACATGCTGGAGCACAAACAATCTGGGAGATTTTTGGAGTGTGCTGGAGACAATTTTTTGGTGTAGGTAGTGGGGATACACATTTAGGAGAGGCATTCTGCTGGATTTTGTACTCATGAATAAAGGGGAAGTGGTTGGGGATGAGATAGTGGCAGTCTTAGTTGCAGTGGCCATGAGATGATAGGGTTTAAGACCCTTAAAAAGGTAGAGATGGAAAATAAGAAAATAAAAATACTGAAATTCAGGAGAGTGGACTTCGGGAAACTGGTAGGCAGGAGCCTGTCCAAAGCTGCCCCAGAGTGCAGAGGAACACAGGAGATCATCTCCTAGGGCATCTTCCTCAAAGCACAAGAACTGTCCCCATGTACAAGAAAAGAAACAGGCCTAGTAGGAGGCTGGTTTGAACAGAGGACTCCTGACCTCATACTAAAAGAGGCAGAGTGTGGTAGGTGGGGGATGAACTGCTAAGGAGCAGTATAGAGACATAGCCTGAGTGTGCAGGGATGGACCTGGGAAAGCCAAAGCTTGTTGAGAAATGGAAATTGATACATGTGGTTGGGAATAACCAACATGGATTTAATATGGGCAAATCATATTTAACCAACCCCTTTGCCTCAGTAGTGAAATAACTGGCTGTGTGGATGAAGGAGGAGCGGTTATTATCATTTGTCTTGCTTTCAGCAAAGACTTCCATATTTGTAGGTGAGATTGGAAGAATTGTGGTAGATATGGGGAGGAAGATACCCTTAAGGAAGGTAGGGACTGGATTTGTGGGCTACAAAGCAGACAGAAAACTGGCTTGTTCAGTGGAAAGTAAAAGGTCAATTGGTTGAAATGTAACTGGCACCTATTTATGGATGGTGGTCCTCAGGGTTTGGTACTGGATCTGATACTTTTTAATATGTTCATCAGTAACGTGGCTGATGGCATAGGATGCAGCCTTATCCAGGCCCAGTACTGAAGCCAAACTGTCGTTATCAGGGGATATGCAGGGCTGCCTTTCAAAGCAATCTCAACAGCTTGAAGGAATAGGCTGACTCAAGCCCCATGAAGCTCAACAAGGAGAAATATGAAGTTGGGCACCTGAAACACAGTAGCTGTGTCTTGGTACAGTCTGGGCACAGGTAGGCTAGAAAGCAACTACAGGAAAGGGCCATGCATCTCCTGTGGATAGCAAGTTGATGATGAGTCAGCAGTACTCCCTTTTGGTGATGAGCTTTGACTGTGCAGGCTGGGCTAGTAACATCAAAGGAACATCATCTTCCTTGACTTGTCATCTCTAAGGTTGCATCTAGAATATTTTGTCCAGTTTTGAGTCCTTCCCAGTACAAGAGAGAGGCCAGGCTGGATGTGGCCTTGAGCAACCTGCTCTAGTGGGAGGTGTCCCTGCCCATGGCAGGGGGGTTGGAACTAGATGATCTTTGAGGTCCCTTCCAACCCAAACCATTCTATGATTCTATGATTCTATGGTTTACCAATGGGAGAGAGTCAACAACACGTTAAAGGGCTTATGACACAGAAAGAAGCTTAGGGGACTGGGTTGGCTTCACCTTAAAGGCTAAGCAGGAGAGGGCAGGTCAAACTGCTCTCTTCAGCTGCAGATGGAGTAACAGAGAAGACCGAGCTGAACTTTTCTCTGTGTTGCCCAGCAAAAGGATGAGGCAAGGGTCAAAAGTTGCAGCAAGGAAAATTCTAATTTGACAAAAGAAAAATTTTTTTCAACATTGAGAACTGCCAGCACTTTCCTGTCTAGAGGGGGTGGAGAACCTTTGTCTTTGGTGATATTTAAAACTAAACCAGACAGGGCCTCAAACAACTTATTTTTACTTTGAAGCGGGGCACTGGCCTAGATGATCTCTAGAGCAGTGTTCTTCAAAGTGGATTGTGCACAGCCCAGGGGTTGTGCGAGACAATCCATGGGAGTGCAGGAAGAAAATGTTAGAACTTCAGTAGTACTTGTATATAATTTATAAATAAAGATACAAGTACTGGGGATTCGTGCTCAAAAAGTTTTTACTGATAGCAGTGTGCAGTCAAAACAGTTTGGAGCCCACTGCCCTAGAGGTCTCTTCTAACATAACTTTTCTGTGATTCTGTATTTGTTCATCTTTGATTATTCAGTCCTATAATCAACTTCTTTTTAGTAAGCTTTAGGGGTTTTTGCTTACTATTTAGTTGGCTGGGTTTTTTTTCAATTTATTTGTATTGTGTAAAAGAATACTAGATGTATATACATTTTGCTTGTGTTCTGCTTTTAAAAAATGCCTGAGAGGAAAACAGAAGTTTTATGGCATTGTATTTGTGTATCAACTTCTGCCTGCATTACTAGTGTGTACATTAATGAAGGATGCATATGAAATTGCTGCTGTAGCCATTTTGAAGAATGGCACCCTACCATCTGAAAAAAAAATCTGGATCTCTCAATTTTATTTTAGGCTGCTGTTTCTAAGAAAGAACATCCTCAGTGATTTATTAACTTTAATGGGAAGGAGTGTTGCTCAGCTATTTTATAGACATTGTTTTTAAAGATACATGAATCAGGTGATTGAAAGAGGCAAGAGCGTGGCTGCCCCGGTCCCTGATAGAAGGAATGCTACAGCTGTGCCTTTTCACAGCAAATACCTGCCCCCACCCCAGAGACTTACGTGCTAAACACCATTGGGATCATCAGCCCTGTTAATTGCACTTGTCCTTGCGAGGTGTTGTGATAATTAGGATGTGTTGGGTTGTACTGATAGTCGTGACATCGGGGAAGAACATGCTGCCTGTCGGCTTAATCTTTGTTTCTTATGGCATCCTGAAGTATATCCTGCCCTGGTCTTGACAGTGTAATAATCAAATTGAGGAACGATTAGCCTGTTTATTGGCCTCTGAAGGTGCGTAAAGAATTCCTCTGGGGAGCGTAAAGCCTTTGACAGTGTAAATTGGGTTGTCAGGTCTAGTTTTTAGGCTGACTGCAATTCATATGAAATCCAAGAGCCCTGGAGACGGCTGCATTGCTTCTCCGTGGAGATCCTACAGTGTGCAGGCAACAGCTCTGCCCATTCTGCTGTGTGTCTCACCACTTTGCCTCAGCCAGAGGATGGGGACCATCACTGGGGAGGGGGAGAGTAGTTAACTCTGCGGTACCGCTTCTGTACTTGGCAGTGGCCGCTGCGGTTATAGATGCAGTTGTGTTGTGGTTTCAGCCGAAATTGC